ATATATATATATGATTGTCCGAGAATGAATGTGAGTCTTCTCGTGAGAGTTTATTGAAATGTAACACCGCCATACAAAAATTGCTGACAGTCAGCATTTTTTGTATGGCGGTGTAACATTTCAATAAGCTCTCACGAGAAGACTCACGTTCATTCTCGGACATTCATATATATATATATATGATGACGGTGACGACAACAAGACAATTCATCCATGAAACTCGATTTTAAAGCAGTATTCAAAGCATCAACATCATTTCAACCGTGCTTATGCATGTAAATCCGGGGCCATTGAGGCTGTCTGTAGCATATCATGGGTCGCAATCAAAAAATGTGTTGTTGCTTCTTTTTTTTCTCTCGTTTTCATAGAGAATGGTATATATATGTTTGTTGAAAACGAAACGGAGTGGCAAACATTTTATATGAATAATCCAATTGCGTTGTGTAATTCTAAACAAACGATCACCCAAATGATGTGACAAAAAACAAATTCGTAAGCCAGCTGTCAGGGAATTTTCCGCAAACATAAGAACAAATGGTAGCTTATTCCAACAGCATTTTCATCTAAATGGAAAATCAATGGGATAAACGCCGTTACAGTTTTTCTTTTATTCGCTCGCGCTTCCTATCACACTCACACACAACGCAAATGAATAACTATAAGTGCAAACAAAACGTGGAACGAATTGAATTGTAAATAGAAGATTCCATGATTATCACTAATTACATTGAATAAATTTGTTACTGTTGCTATTTTTGATGCCACATATATAAAGTGCTAATCGTGTTTTTTTCTTTTTAAATCATCAATTCTTCGTTTTTTAATGGATGATACATTTTTTTTACTTTTAAATTGTGAAGTGGGTGCCAAATGTTAAAAGTTAACCTTTGATCGACCTCAATAAATTGCAAACATTTTCCCAGCACAATATTTGAAATCATACAATTCGATTTGAATTGAGAAAACATTACGAATAAAAAGATAAAAACGGTGCTCAAACGAGTGTACGAGTGTGGTAGTCTGGTTATAGGAATGACCATTCGAAGCTCGTGGGCAACATGCCAAACAGTGTACGACAATCTAAATAAAATATTTTGCGACACATGCCGATATCTGATTCAATTCAAACGTTGTACATTTCACTCCAACAATGAAATTTTAAGATCAAATGTCACATGTGTGCGGCCGCATGCTTCGTTCGAAATAGCATCACTTCTAAACTATTTGTGAAAATAAATATTCTAATTGCGTTCAATAAATTTGATATGTTTACTACCCATGATGATGTCATGTTCCATTATTACCTGCCTATTGATATAAAATACAATTTCCAGTTAAATAAAATGTGATCAATTCTATAGATTATTAGGTTGTATCCTTTGTCCATCATTTCTCTCGTAATCCCAAATGAATATTCGATCAAAATATATATTCATAGGTCAGATTTAAAATGTTCATTTTCTCTCATGGTAATGCAAAAAAGATGCAAATTCGATTGATTTGGTGCGAACTGAACGTGTCGAATGAAAAAGGAAAAAAGAACTGACGAAATAAACTGAAAAACAAACAATTGATTGCGAATATTTAACAGAAGCACTGGAACAAAATGTTTCGAGATGTCTTTCTCACTTGCGCCTCCTTCTCTTCTTCTTTTTTGCTATTTTTTTTCTCACTTTCGTTTTTTTTGCTGTTCTGTTCAATTTGCAATCGATATAAAGAATTCCTGTTCAATATTCATTTACAATATATATATATATATATATATATATATATTGAATTCAAGAATAATGTAATGATGTGACTGGTTTTTTATTAAAATTCATTTTCCACGGCTAATGAAAACGCACTGTTACATCCTTCGATTGTTATTCTTACGGCATTTTGTTTTATAATGTCAAATTTAGTGAGTCTATCTTTCAGTGTATGTGTCTAAATGGAATTTTTGTTTTTGTTTTTTGCCACCAATCAAATTTTCTCTCTCTTACCAACGCTTTTACGACCAACCACTCGGTACCGGTATAGTTTGACTCGATTCAAATTTACTTATGCAAATGATTTTGTGATTTGTGGAATAAAATTTTTCATTAAGCAATTCAAACATCTATATTTTATCGAATTCGAAAATGGTTCACACTTCAAATCATCCCATGAGAAAAGATATGAATTTTTTTTATTTGCACTTATTTATGAGCGGTGTCGAATTTCCAGTGGTATACTCTCTCTCTCTCTTCTCTTTTTGCTTGAAAAATTAAGAACTCTGTTGCCCACAACACGGAACAGACGGTTTTCATTCGTTAAATTTTCCACAGATAAATCGATGTGAATATCTGTGTGTTTATTTTTATTATGTTATAAAAATATTTGAGAGATGCAGGTAAATGTAAACATTCAACACGGTTTCTTAGTGCTATACGATTTGTATTGGATGTATTCGTGCGTGCGTATGTACGTACGTGAAAGCCGCTTATAATAATTTCATCTTTTCAGCGATGGTGAATTAATTGACATTGAAGCGGCGAATGATTTTAACGGAAAGCTGAAAATGTTTAGTCGATCAATTAAGTCATTCCATAAAATTGTGATTGAGTAAAAGAAATGTGTTGAATGCTTAAATGTACGCAAGAAAATAAATATAAAAGATTCTATTTCATTAGAAAGTGGTAAGCAATGAAAATATAATGATTCATTTTCTAAATAAACGAAGCGATGGAAATCTTTATTTTTTTAAAAAGAATCTTTGCCATACATCGTCAATAGACTGATTGCTGAACAAATACCCGATGTTTGCAATGTTATTGACTAAATGAGAAGAAAATGGAAAAGAAGCGAATGGAAAAAGCGCAAGAAAAAGTTAAGAGAAGTACACGAAACAGAAGAAGGAAAAATTAAAAAAAGGGAAAAGAATGAAAGAGTAAGTGAACAAGAGTGAGTGTGTCTTAATTGTTTACACAAACCAAGACTTTTTGCTTAATTTTAGTACTAAAGTGCCCGTTTGACGCCAATCAAACCAGTGAAAGATTGTTATAGTGGTTTTACGAAAAAAGAGAGAGAAATAAGCCCTTAAGAGAACGCAAAAAAGCATCAATTCAGGCGACGAGACGAAAACGACAGTGAATATTAAAAAAAACATCGGTTGAATAAGCAAATGATTATTTGAAAACTCACACTCTTATCAAAACCTACAAATAACGAAAATTAATTACACTAATGAATCATATAAATTGTGTTTCATATGACGAGATTTCGAATGAGAAAAAGCCGAGCTTGACATCAACAGATCTTCCAACGCAAATCAAATCATTTTTACATCTTCACTGTTTTTCATACAAAAAGATGACAGCTGGCTCTTGTTAACGTTTATTCAGCTCCTTATTATCGACGGACACTGAAGATGAAAAAAAAAATGTGATAGACGGAAAAGTGCGAAAAATAAAATAAGTTTGTATAACGATAAGCGGAAAGAGAGGAAGTATAGCTGCATTCAACAAAGTATAGAAATATTGTGCTCATTACGTATTACTTAGAATGGTCTTAATGGTTTAGAGAAAAAGCTAAAAGAGCTTTGATAGATCTTCTTAATCATAAGAAGACGATGGATGAGTTGCCATAGTTATGATTACAACCTATCATTACAACTCATCGTTGGATTGATGAACAAAAGCTTAACAGGCACACATATCCTATGAGTATTTGCTGCACGATTAAGGGCACTCTTTTTTTATCAGAACTCTTTTCTTATGCCCAAACAATAAATCATTTCACACATACGCACGCTTACGTACTTTTTAATGTTATTCAATTCTTAACCCAATGAATTAATTTTTCATTTAAATCAATCTTCATGGAATACATGGATCTATTTTGCATACTATTGGGAAATCAGAGATTCCAATGCAGGCATACTAACAAATCACATTCGACTGTGATGGCACTGTTGCTATTGTCATCGTTTGAATAAAAGACGAGAACAATGCATAAATCTGGCAAATAAATTTTTCTATATCCATGCAATATTAAATCTAGGCTTTTTTTCGCTGGCGGTCTTCTCTATGGCTTAGAAGAAAAAAATGCGGAATTTTCGTGTTCACAATATCGTGGATGGTTTTATGTTGAGCCTTGCCATGTGCAATTTATCATAGTTTTATTTTCGACCTTTCTTGTCTATCGAGTGAATACTTGACACACACACACACACCACTTGTTAATATATTATTTATTATTTACCTCATGGGAATGCGACTGACGAATCATAATGTAAATGTTAAAGCTAGTCGAATCTCTTTAGCTATTAATAAGAATCGAATGTTTAAGCATTATCTATTTCTTTTGTGTATTGTTGTGTCTTAGGTTTAATGTGATAACAGCTGATAGATGACGGTAATTCGACCAGAATAAGAAAGAAAAAAACACTGTAGATTGTATTCAGAGTGTTGCAATTTTGAAAGATTTTTTTTCTTTAGTCTAACAAATTATATCCAGATAATCTTTTCCTAAGAAAATTTATCGCACAACACTAATTAAAAATTAATTCAGCTATAAATATTGCTTGCACATATTTGAAGTGTGTCGTTTTTTTCTTATATAATTTGTATATTCGATTATTTCGTGCATAATCTTCGCCATGAACGCGCTATATTTTTGTTATTGCTGTTAATTATGATTCGTTGGTAAAATAATTGCTTTCAGTGCCTTTTTTCTTTCTTGTTCTTGTTGACTCGGCCACACAACATCTTCCACTTTTAAATGGAAAAAGTTAAGCATTTATTAATTTGTGTTTGTTGTTGTTTGTCGCTTTTTTTTTGTTGCTATTATTTTTTGTGTAGCATAATTTTTTTTCTCATTCCACTGCAATTTAGTGTCGGCATAAATTTCAGTTTAGAGCCGATTGAATTAACTGTTTTTCCATTCAACTTTTATAAGTTTTAAGTGTGAAACAAAGAAGAAGAAGAAGAAAAAATACCGAAAAAAACACATTCTATAATGAAAATTGTGTAATTTACCATTTCTCGTCATAATGTCTACGTTTCCTGGTTTGATTTAATTGTTTTTATCGTTTCGCTGATGGGATACAATGTACTTTATTCCACATTTTTTCTTCGGTTTTTTCTTTACACTTTTTCTTCGGTTTACATTCACTTGTCTCTCGCCCTCTAACTTTTTACATTGAATCCGGATGATTGTTTTTTTTATCCTCAATTTTTTTCTTTCTTCCTCCTGCGGTGTGTTTGTTTATTATTAATTTTGAGTTTATCAAAGCCACAATTCGTTAAACATTTCACGCCACCTCTAGTGAAGGCGAGCTTGCTTAATACAATGCAAAAAGAACAATTGAGAATATTAAAAAAAAAATACTAGAAAGTGTCACGTAAATTTATGTGGGTTTTTTCTCACTCTCTCTCTCTCTTTTTTTTGGTTGATGCTGTTGTTGTTTCTTTTTATATTCAGAAAAAAGGGATTTACTTTGTTGTTTAAATATTTTTGAATGTTTATCTTTGTGTCGTAAATTAAATTAACTGTGGCTGTTCGAAACATAAAGTGAAAATATTTCGTGTTTGATTGAGTTCAGTTTTCTGGCAATTGGACCACATCGAAATGAACATAATAAAATCACAATTGCACAATGCATCGTACGCAACACTATTTTACACAGATTCAAAAAAAGCACTCACAAAATCATAATAAACGAGATAGAGAGCGAGAGAGAAAGAAAAGAAAATAAATAAATAAATTTGTTAACGGGTTTTCTGCTTTAAGTTAAAACCAAATGTTCGCTATTTAAAACATCGAATGTGAACACACGATGAAACGTAACCGATTTTTTTTTACCAAAAAGAAACGCTATTCACTTATTGTTGTCAGATCGAGAGCTGAACGAATACTGCCGCTATTTGAATAGTGAATGAACGTTTCATTTGATGGTGCCTGTACAGTTGTTGCCGTTATTTGGCTTACATTTGGAAAACAGTCTCACTTTGGTTGGGATCCAGCAAACAGCAACAGAAACAGTAACGCGATGTACTCCATCCGATACGAACGCACGATATTTCAGTGCTCAACACAAAATGTGTACACGCGTCCTTTTATCCCGTTTGAAAATTGGAATTTTGTGTCGGCTTCTCGACATACGCTCAACTGAAAGCGGTTTGACTTGAATATCATTCTCTCTCTCTCTCTCTCTCTTTGTTCTGCGTGCATCACTTTGATATATACTCAAGTTAACCGATGCGATGACTTGGCTCAACCATTCGGCTTAATAAAACGAAAAACATGCCAAGTTCTTCGTTTTTTCTTCCTCATTTCAAATGTTACTTTGGGATAATCGGTCACCGAATTTCATTGAATTGACACGAATACCGATACATAAATCTCAATTCAAAGCGATTAGTGTTCGTTGAAACTCTTTCCGGAAATTATAAATTGGACTATTTTCCTAAAGTTTGAAGGTAAGGAAACCATAGAATTATTGCCTAAAACGATAAAAAATAAAATTCACATATAGTTGGCGCATATTTTATTAATTGGTTAAATTAAAGTGGTACTGCTATACATTTCAATGTAAAAATAAGTGGTTACTTCGGCTCGTAACCAAAAATCTATCCAAAAGCACTGATGCGACCCCTTGCGCGACCCCAATAATCCGTAACTATATTTTCAAATATTATTTTTTATTGAATATAGATTAAATCTAGGATTAATTTCTTTTTCATTTTTGTGACACCAATGACCAATCCCGTTCAAAATATTTGCAAATAAATAAATGAATAAAAAATTCAAAATAAATATGAATTGCATAATCTCACTTTCTAGCTCATTATTACGTAATTAAAAGTGAGGTTATGTTACGCACATTTATTTTTTATATAATAATCAGCGAATAATCAGCGCAAAAATTCCAGCAAAATTAAAAAGAAAATTAATTTCCGTAAGTATACTTTTTAGAGTTTTTAGTAGGTATGACAGTTCAACCGGAATTGTCAAACGAAATTTTTATTTCCGCGTATTTACATTCATTTACACGTTTTGGGATGCATTTACACGTATTGACACTTATTTTGTGCATTTATTCGTATTTACAAGCTAGTTGACAAGTTCTTAGCCCCTTATAAAAATCACTATGCCGTTCATAGTATTGGTGGTAATTGAATGTTCACATTGTGAACTTCACAACCTGTGTATGAGAGAATATCGCATATCTCTTCTCTGTGAGTGATGGACAATGTTTTTGTGACGATATCGGCCTCACTAAACATTTTGAGCAAAAGCTAAAACTGTAAATATACGCTGTATGCCTTGACAACAAAATACTCAAAGTTTAAAAAAAGAAGAAGAAATAAATCGCTTCAACATGTTGGAAATTGAGGATATTATATTACCAAATTGAGCCACTGAAATCGCTTGGAATTTGGTAATTCAAAAGTAAACATTGTGTACACGAAATAATTCCACTGGGCGTTTGAAATGAGAATTTGGTGTACGCTTGCTCATCAATTTCTCATATATTTGTTTCTTCCACATTTGAACTGATTATAATGTGTGGTATTCATTCCACATTCTGTACACAATACCCCAGTTTATATGTGGTTTCATTTGAATCTCATCTGAAAACAATGGACAAGAATTTCGAACAATTTCAAACTTGAATGTTGACTACTGATGGCGAATGAGAGAAGATCACAATTCGCTATCGGTAAACATTCTTATCAGATTCGAGCAAATCAGATGGTTCATGAATGCATTGAGCTTGACTCGATTGTTAAGAGAAAAAATTGTTCAATCTGTATGCACAATAGAATGTCAGCCTAAAACATGTATTCCAGATTCACAACCCGTTTATGTTTTAAAAAAGCAAATTTAGATGATATCAGATATTATTATTAGTTCAATTTGACGATATTCTTAATTGTGATGACATCAGTGATACAGTAAACGTATTCTATGAAATCATTTATAAAGTAATTGATGAGCATGTTCCTCGTTCTACGCTTCGTACTTCTAACAAACCTATTTGGTTCAACAAGAAATTATCGCATCTTAAGAATGTTCGGAACAGAGAATACAAAAAACTGTCAAAAAATTGATTAAATAATTCAAAATCAGAAACACAGTCATTTACGAACGCAATGAACGAGTTCGACGAATATCAAAAACAACGATATAGTGAATACATCAATGAGGTTGCTGAAAATTCAAAGAATAACCCAAAACTATTCTGGAGATATATTAATGGAAAGAAGAATTCGAACAACATATCATGTAAATTGGAATTAGATAGTGTTAGTGCTTCAACAGATACAGATAAGGCGAACTTATTTGCGAAATTCTTCTCTTCAGTATTCATAAACCATGAAAATGACTCATCACTGGAACGATTTATCGAAAACCGAAACGATCATGGCTGTTTCAACATAAGTATTTCTAGGGATTCCGTTTTGAATACACTGGAATC